ATTCGCTAAATTTCCACAGGCAGGCACATTTGCAGCATGGTGTTAATAAACAAAAAGATCCTGTGATGCACAGTTTCAGGACTGCACGAGGCAATTGCTCAGAGTTTGGCAGCCATCCTCCCTGGGTACCCATCCTCCTGGAAGTGCTGAGAAGGTCTCCTTGACACGCAGCAGACATTGCAGCACAGGGCAAGACAGTGACTCAGCAAGGCAGATTGCTGGGTTCGTTTCAGCCGCCTTTGGCTCCCACTGAAGGCAGGATCCAGTTCAAGGTTGCTGTGGTGACTATTTTCAAAGCTCTGTCTGGAATTCATTTTAGCTACCAAGAGACTGTCTGTCACTCCATGGCTACCACCTCCCACAAGAGCTTAATTCTGCTGCTAGACTGGAGCTGTTAGTGAAGTGTTCCCTGCAGACAATAGAGGCCAGTGGTCTGCTGTTTATACCCAATAAAATCTTTTTGGTTTCAGAAGTTCTTCATGGACGAGTATTTTGGCCTTAAGTTGTTGTTTAGCACAGGTTTTGCTGGACATCAGTAAGGTCGGAGTTTTGTAGTCTAGCACAGAGCAAGTTGCAAATTAAATCCAACTTCGGCTAATTCTGCTTTTTTCTAAATAACTACAGCGTGTTTTGTTTCTAAAAAACCCCAGAATAATAGCAGAGCAAAAAGGCATGCATGCCTGAGCTATTTTCCTGTCTTTTCCCTTTCCATCTATCTTGCTTGTTGCTAATACACTGAGGAATTAATATCTGGTACATTGGATAAATTCTGGTAAAACATTGCCCTAATGTGCTTGTAGCAGCAGTAGCATAATGAGACAGCTACTGTAAGAAAGCTAATCCTGAAAGTTAGGCCAGCCCAAGGCTAGGGAAACTAACTCATCCAACTCCTTAAGATACTCAAGATTTTTCATTCCTGACTTAGTTGCCTGCATCCTGTTTTCTTCCTTCTTTTGCATTAATCCCCATTTATGTTTTTGCCTCCCCTTTTCCTCATCTTTGCCCCTAAGTGTTCCTCAGCTTTATATATTGAGTTTCCCTTGGCATGCCAAAAATCTGCTGATGAATACCACTTGTTTGAAAGTTGCATGCAAGGTTTCTTTGCTGCAAGTGTTTTATAAGAAACCCAAGCAAGTATTTAGAACTTACTCGTGGCTTCAAGCCTAACTTTTAGTCGTGTACATGTATTTGCAGTATACATTAGAATACACTTAGAGAACAACACTAAGAATTGTCTGTGCATTTGGAGTGTTGCTTACTGGTTTGGATGTATCCAGAGGAAAAATATCTGCAGGATAGATTTAAGAAATAGGAAACAGCTTTTCGTAAAGATGAAAACTATTAATCATTGAAACAAACGATCAAAAGAAGTTAGGAGTCCTCTACCATCCAAGCTTTCAGTTCAGTAATGGATGCTTGGCTAGAGAAGAAGCAGTAATGGGTTGTATTTGGTCTTTGCTCCAGAGCAGACGATTGATGAATTTTGCCTTCATTCTCTTCCTCCATAAGCCTTATGATTTTCCCTTGCAAGCTCAGCTCTGGACCATTGTGAATTGTGATGTTAATGGTGTGGATGTCCTCTCCTGATCTGCCCCATATTCCCAGACTTTTAAAGTCTTTGACATTGGAAGTACCTCAATTTTGTGGTCACATGACAGTTTCTTTTGCAACTCTCCCTGAATGTCTGGGAGCAGCATAATATGGCAGGGAAATGAAAAGAGATCACAAAGCTGTGGTAACCTTTTGAGTGCATTTAAGTGCCATATATTTCAGAAACAGAAAAATCTAGAAACATATTTCAGTACAGCAGAGGTTTGGTGTCTTCATTTACAGGTTTAAGTTGATGTACATTAGCTGGACACAAAAGACTTAATTTCTGAAATTGCTGGGTCTTGCATGGTGTTGTGTTTTTCTTCCCCTGACATGCTTAATCTTTCGCAAACCTCCTTTTGTGGTTTTGTTCAGGCAATTAATGTAGAAATGAAGGTTTCTTAAATCAGGATATGCAAGGAAGATTTGAAGTAACACACTGATTATGTAATTAATTCTCAGTTGTAAATTCATTTTGATGGAGTTAATTCTTTCCCAGAGGCTGAAGACTAGTTTTGGTCCACCCACAGTGCTGTAATCAGCTAAGAAATAAGGAAGAAAAAGGCCTTGAAGGAATGGAAGTTTTGCTACCGGTTTTAGGGGAAAAAATGCCAGAAACAGGCAGGATATTTTGTTTTAAATTCAAGCAAAAGCTTATGAGCTCTGAGTTTGAACCATGGGTATCCAAATCCTGTTTTTAAACAGCGTAATATAATGTATCCAAAAGAAATCAGAAAAGAATGATACCTGAGGAGGGTGGAGAAAAATTATCTGGGTGTCAGGACCCAGATGGGAAACTGTTTAGTGGAAAATGTGTTTAGGATTATTTTTTACCTCTTCTACAGATATGGTAGCATTCAAATATAGCTTTCTGTAGGACAATTGCCCATTTACTAATAAATAAGGACCAGTGACTATCATCCTGATGGAATCTTACTGCTTTTGACAGTGTTTTGTGAGGTGCTCACTTCAGAAAGCACAAACAGCACTCCAAAACCTAAATAATTTGGAAAATCTGATTTGCTGGACTTAATCTGTCTCCTTCTCTCTTGGTTAACCAATGACCTAATCATCCTGTAGATGTGTTTAGACTGCAGGTTTCCAGAACAAAACAATAGCACCAAAGAAACAATATTGACAAATTCCCAGGATTTTAAAATGATTCTGCTCACATACTGCAGTGGATACTGGAAGGATAGTTGCAGCCTCTTTTACTCTCTAATGTTTGATTTTATTCGTGAGGCTTTCTCATCCCAGTTTTTCTCCGTCTTTACATTGGTTGGCCATATTTTGCATTAGAAATTGAAAGCACTGTTGTTTAGGGGTGATTTTAGCGTGCACACCAGGTAAGCATAGGCATTCAGTTGTCGTTATATCTTAGGGACTGGTAGTTTCTGTTTTATTTTCTTGCTCTGCTTCATGGCTGCAGCAGAAGTTGTGTTGTGTTGGTTAAACTGCACTATCACCACATCTCCAAGCTCAATCGAAGACCTGTAAATGAAGTCAGCATGATGCAGATAGAGCTGACAGATGATCTGCCTTGCAGCTCTGGGTAGCAAGAGTAGGCTTGCCCTGCAATATCACTTTGAGTGGTTTCTTTACCCCTCTATCTGAATTTGGGCAGAATAAAAATCCCCCTGTCTGGTTTTCCTTGAGCTACTCCCCAACTTCTATTTCCAAGTTTGGTGCAAAAAGAGCCAGCTATGGCTAAGGAACTGTTGTACCATTCCAGTGAGTGAATAGTTAAATATCATTTCAATGTGTCATTTACATTTGAGCCTAACGAGGTTATAACTGGAGCTGTGTGAAAATGACTTTTTGGTGCTATTTTCACATAAACTGACTATTTATTTATTTATTTTGTTCTGGGGTTATTTCACACCCCAAGGGTTTCATTTTTGTTGGTTGTTTTATTAATGTAAAAATACTCATTTTCACACCCAAATGTGTGATTATTTAAAATGCTGCTTCTATTCATTGTGCACTCACTTGCAACCTAAAGGCAAATATTCAAATGTCTGGAGCTTGATAACTCCATGGTGGTTTTGGCTGGCTTTTTAAACTTAAAAATTACTGGGAAGAGAAATGGGCAATAAGTAATTCAAAGTGTTATAAGGGCTGTATTCCCCTGCCTGCTTCCCAGCATCCAAGGCTGAGTCAGAGGTTATTCCAGCACATGCTGTAGTGTGGTGCCCTGTCTCAGACACACACAAACCCTCTCCCAGCATGGTAGTGCCAAAAGGCTGCAGCAAGAGCCTTCGCCTCTGTGGCCCAGTGTGACTTTAAGTAGCCTTTGACCCTCCCCTGCACAGAGAAATAATGTGGGTGACAACACAGAGGCAGAATTGCAGCAGTGTTGATCTGCCTGTGTCTGGCCCTTGCTCATTCCCAGCCACCCTTTCCACTACCCTGACTGGTGAGAAGCATGGAGAACATGATATGAAATGCTTTTTCCCATCATCTCCCTCCTCTGGGAACTGATTGGTTAAAACACGACTTAAAATGGTTTTGTTTTTTTTTGCTAAATTGGACTGATTTTGAAGTGTCTAAATGTGATGCAAAATCAATGTCCAGGGCTCTGCATTTTGTAATAAGTGAATGTCTTGCTGATTTCTTGCTAGAATATCTGCAACCACACCAATTTGCATGCCTGTATGTGTGTTAGATTGCTGGCAAAGAAATGCTGAATGCTGATAATTGTATACTGATTTTCAACCCTGATTTAAGTCATTTTGATTTTTAATTCATTCTGTGCTTCCTTTTTATTTCTGCACATGTGTAGTAATGTCCTGTAATGTTGTTGCCTAAAATAAGCAGTAAGAAATGAAGTTGAGAGATGGCTGCTGTAAAGGGAAAATGAAATTTTTTCCTTTGATTTTTTTTTTCCCAGTAAAACAATAAGTCTCTGTATACAGAATGTTCAAAAAATATTCCATTCACTATTTTGCTGCTAATTTATATACAGAAAACATCATGGCTGTGGGGAGCATACAAAGCTCAGAAAAGTGATGTGCAGAAGTTCTGCACAAGAATATTCTTGTTCTTGAGGAGCACTGAGCAGCCAACACTCCACATCAGGGGTGCTCAGTATCTCTTTTGCCTTGGCACGCAACTGGGTTCCTCAGTGAAATCCTGGTTGAGATCCTGCAGTTGATTTGTGTTAGAAGATGAAAAAACCTCTGCCCATCTGCTGAGGAAGAAAATATAGGCATCTATATGTCCTTATGTTAATTGTATGTGGTAAACCCAGAGTGTGTGTTCTCTCCTTCCTTCAGTAACATACTTGAGTTCATAGATGCATCAGCAGTATTGGGATACTGGGAATCTTACTTTCTTCACATATCTGTGAACATGCTAGCAAATACCAAATGTACTAAAAGTTTTTGGGTTTCTTTTTTTTTTTTGGTTAGGAATCTGAGAAAAAGGGGTTAATTGAGAGAATCCACATGGTCCAAGAGATCATCATAGCTGTTCAAAGCATCCTAGAAGAAATAGCATCATTTGGAGAGAGGATTAAAAAGTAAGTAATAATTTTTTTCTTGCTTAGCCATGATTTACAGTGAAGTGGAGTCTGGAGGATTAAGGTGGGGTGAATGTCTTACTCCAAAAATTACTACAAGGTGCAGCAGGGTAACCTGGTCAGTCCCAGCACTGCTTCTTCTCTGACAGTCTTTTATTCCAAAAACCTCTCCAAAACATAGAGAAGAGAAGAAGCCTTGTGTTCTACTGACATAGCTTTCACATTTGCCTAAATTTCTGGCCTTACTAATTTGTGGTGGAGTACAGAGTCACGGATGCCACACATATTGCTTGAAGATGTGGGCACAGAAGTATCAGGCATTTCCTCTTATAATTGATGGTCAGTGTTGCCTTTCCCACGCCCTCCCCATCCTGACCTGGCTGCAGGGGTTACCAGTCACTTATGTCCCTGACCAATGCATTGATGCTCTTCTCTCTTTACCATTTTGAGCTGTCTGCTTCCTGCTGGTGCCACGAGGAAGCCCGAAGGGAGTTTTCAGGGTCTCATAAGGGGAGATGCACAGGGTATTCCTGACCTTGCAAAGAAGGGAGGTGAAGAGTCTAAAAAAAAAAAAAAATCCCACACACAAACAGACACAAACTTTTATAGCTAAGTCTTTATTGGAGCTTAATTGACCCCCCATTGTTTTCTGTTTTGAACACAAAGTGATGGTTTGTGATCAAGCCACACTTCAATGAGGAGCTGGGTTCAAGCTAAAAATACAGCAAACACATGCGTTGTGGTTCCATGCCGGACACCCCAGCTGGGGTGGAAGTGGCCCAAAGATGTATTCCAGTCTATGAACAGGGCACTGTTCTGCCCAGCTGCATGGCAGGAAGACGCAAAGCACTTAAACACTATTAATTCTTGTATTCATTTTGGTAACAATGGTCTTAAAGAACACATTGGGTATTAATGTGGATGCCCGATGTAATTTCAGAAGAATTCTGTTGTAACTCAACAGTGATGTACCATTAAAAAATTGCTACCAAGGTTTTTTTTTTTGTAAGTGACAGACTGAATTGTGCTGCAGTTTCCGTCTGTCACTCCAGTTACACAATCACAGGGAGTTTTCATAGTTTAACTGAATTGAGCTGGTTTGTTATTTTTTTTACTTTAACTTAAGCTACGTTGATTGATAATGATGGGTCCTCTCCCACCTATCTTTACTTAATATTTAATACGTCTGTTGAAGCTTAAAAGTAATTCTTGTAGCGTCCTATTAATTTTATCTGTCAAGGGAAGTTCGTCTTATTTTATAGCCTGATAAGTGGTCCACGTTCATTCTCTCTTCTACCTACTCCCTGTTATCATGATGTGATGAAGTTAGCAGGCAGATTGTATGAAACAGATGCCCAGACCCATAAATCCATCTATGGACTAAAAGGCATTCTAATAGTCCAGGAATCTCTGTGTTTCATGCATGCCATAGGGTTATGTCTTACAAGGGCACAGGGGGACAAAGTCACTTCAAAAATGTGTTAGCAGTAGCTGCTCACCTTAAGTCCATCGTGGGCCTGCAGATAAGAGGGCTGAATGAAATAAAGTCCTGGTTTTCACTACAATGCGACAAAAGTCTGGAATACTATAGTAACTGAGCCTCTTGAGAGTGTTCCTCTTGGGAAAAATCTGAAGCAGGTTGGTAGTCTGCAGAAGCTTGGACTGCTGCTAGAATACTACAGCTTACTAAGCCAGCCTCCTATATACAAGATATGAAGGAATTTTGAAAACATAAGGAAATATATCTATTTTCATGGAGGTATTTTCATATCTCCATATGAAAAAAGACAGGTTTATATAGGATATTATCCCCTAATGTTATACAGAGAAATGGCTCTTAACTGCTCTTCTAAGGTGTAGCATGTCAGAATTAAACCCTTCCAAGTTATTGTCAGGGTTGACTCTGGCATCCTGCCACGTTTGAGCTGTACACTGACACACATCTCATGTCATCTCCACTGTGGCCTGGTGCAGCCAGCTCTGATGGTTTACACCTGTGCCATGGCCTCATCTCCAGATCAGATAATCCACCCATGAATAATGGAGAACTGACCGGTGAGCAGAGATGTGTAACAAGTGCGACACACGCAAGAAGAAACAAAAACAACTCACTACATGCCAAACAACTTCACTGAGCCCCACAGAGCACCTTTTCTCCTCCCTTATCATGATATCTGCCTCTCAGATATCTCCCTTAATCCATTATAACATCCAGATGTAGGAATCTACTTGCCCACCTTCCAAAGGATTGGCAATTTGCAGCATATCTGACTGTGCTAAGCGCTGCAAAGAGGTCATTAAATTATTATTGGGTAGCAGAGTACAAACAGTGTCCAAGAACAGAAATGTTGAGGAGGAATGTTTGGTTTTTTTCCTTACAGCACATTCAACTGGACCGTGCCTTTCCTCTCTGTCCTAGCCTGCTTGGTCCTGGCAGCAGCAACAGTTATTTTATATTTTATACCTCTGAGGTACATTGTTTTAATCTGGGGTAAGTACTCCACTGTGTCTCATTTGTATGAGATAAATACAATAGATGTCTGCGGAATGAAATCAAACAACCTGTTACACAGACAATCAACTGCTGTTGCTTAGAGGTGAATAAAGATGTTATGAACTTCTTAAAATTGCCATTTCTCCCCCCTGGGATATTCAATGATTTGCTTTTCTTAGAGTTCTTTATAAGTTTCTAACAGCACCGCAAGAAGAGCATTAGCCTAGATAAGCTACTTTCAGTGTTATTGTTCTTCTGCAAGAAAGTAATTAGCTTCCTGGTGCTGGAGCCTCTCAGTTGGGAAATGATAGGAAGTGGGCAAGATGTGTTTGCAGAGCTGGGCCACGTAGACCTGGACTCCAGGAGCCTTTTGGGTCTGAATATCCCTGCATTCAGGAGAGGCAGTGTGCCCAGTACCCAGTGGGAGGCACTGAGCATGTCCTTTTGTCATGGGTTAGAAATTGTTTGTACATCATGAAGTAAAAGAGGAGCTTTTAAAAATAAAGCTTTCCTGGTGGTGTTACTCTCTTTCACTAAAGGAGATGGCATTCAAGGGCATGTCATCATAGAGCAAGGTGGAATGGCTTTAAACTGAAAAAGGGAATACATAGATTAGATATTAGGAAGAAATTCTTTGCTGTCATGGTGGTGAGACACTAGAACAGGTTGCTCAGAGAAGCTGTGGGTGCCCCATCCCTGTGTTCAAGGTCAAGTTGGACCAGGCTTGGACCGACCAAGACAGGGAGGGTGTCTCTGCCCATGGCAGGGGCGTTAGAATGAGATGGTTTTATGATCCCCTTCAACACAAACTATTCTATGATTCCAGCTGCTGAAGATTTTCTTCATCTCCAAATGGCCACCTGTCATATTTAGGGTAGTAACTTTTATCTCAGTCTTGAGGTAAAATGGTTGAGAACATAGTGCAGCTAATCCTCCTGACCCATGGGAGCTCAATCTCAGTGTGGCTCTGGGTTGTAGGGACTCCCCTGTTACCCCTTTGAGGATGAGGCATCTGCTGCTCTCTTGGTTCTCCTGGATGCAGAAAAGGGAAGGGATGAGAAGGTGGCAGTAAAAAAAGCCACTCTAGGTCAGCAACAACAAAAAAGAAATAAAAGATTAAATCAAACAAAAGAAAGGGCAAAAGGGAAGGAGAGAAATTGCTGGGAGTAAAAAGTTCAGTAACAAAATATTGCTGTTCTTGTATGGAAGACATGGTGAGTACATGAAAACTATACATCCGTTCAACATCATCTGGAGTGACAGGGCCTTCAAATATGATACGTGTTAAACAACTACCCTGTGGCAAGGCCTCAAAAGACCTTATGGTATTTTCTGGTTTTTAAAAATCAGGTACACAGAAAATTGTGTTGTCATTTTGCTACAAGTATATGGCTTAAAAGCTGAATCTCAGATGTGAAGCAGGTACATTTCAGAGAGAGGAGAAGGCTGGACCAGCCATCACATTTGAAAGCATTTTCAGGGAAACCACTATGAGATTTTGGACAGGGGCACAGTGGGATTGAATGCTGAATTATGATCCTCAGAGGCAATCTACATTTGAATTTTTATGTTATTCTTTAAAATGGGTTAGCTGATTTTCTTCACCTAGAAGACGACCTCATACAAGGCAAGAAAAGACCTCTTGAACTCCACAATAATATGAACATTACACTCCCATGGATCTTCTGTCCAGACTAGGGACCACCTCTGACAGCTGAATCTTAACTAAGTCCATGGAGATGGGGAGCACTCTTGCTGCAGTTAATAAGCCACATTATTCCCACAAAGCTCAAAATAAAGTAAACCTTTTGATAAGGTTTTTCAGCTTCCACAGCACCATAATATGGCCAACTTGTCAAACATGGCTCTTCAAAGAGGGGCTAAGCTATAAGACACAATGGAGAAGGGAAGCTTTCATTTTCAGAAGAACTGGAAGAAAAAATGCCCTTTTCCTGCCCAGTTGTTTTCAGAGCCCTCCAGTTGCGTGGGCAAGAGGAGAGGGGATGTCTTGGGTCATGCAGAATAGGAGATTTAACAGCAGTCTTGGTTGTAAATGTGTGTATTGTCCCCACAGTATCCCCCAGAATCAATTCATGCTGCAATCTCTTTGTACTATGTTGTTGACAACAGATGATCCCCAAAGTAGAGAAATACCTTCATCCAGGAGGCATTTGTGAATGATTCCACATGACAGGGAACATGTGTGTGGCTTTAAGTCTGAGGCACTGTTTTCACACTAATTTTTACTTGTGAATTCCTCTTCACCTTGCCTGAACAATTTAGAGGAAGGGTGTAGAAAAGAGTTGTGTTATTTTGTTTGCCTTTTTTTTTTTCTAGGCATAAATAAATTTACTAAGAAGCTTAGAAATCCCTATGCCATCGACAATAATGAGCTACTAGATTTCCTCTCCAGGGTACCATCTGATGTTCAAAAGGTAAGTAATGAATGGCCACTGCCAACGGAGGCAACGAGCGGCACTGAGAGCGGCTGGGTGCTCTGCTTGGGGAATACAATGCCAATGCACTTTTGAATAACGGAGATAAGGAATCGGGGAAAATCCACAAAGGGAGGGGGAAAGAGGGTTAGAAGAGAGGGGAGCCAAAATCCTTTGTCAGAAGGATAAAATGATTGCAGAAAAATTATCCTGAAAAGACCTACTTAAAAATGATCTGGAAAATCACCCAGCGTGGTTACTGAACTATGGTTTCTGTCACCTTTCTGCTCCGGTATTTGTACGGAGGGAGGAGAAAAATAGTCTCTTTGATAGAGATAACCATCCAAAAGGATTTGCTGAATTCTCCCTTTTCTCAAGATAGGGGGAGGAATGGGGGGAATTATTTCCGTGACTTTTTGCTTGAGCTTCAGGCCTCCTTTGGACAATGCTCTGCTCATCTTTTTCTTTAAAGAAAACCTTGAAATGTGTATAAAATACTCTGCGGTTGATCAGATCAATCTTCTACCATTATGGAATTATAACTTTTAATCTGACCAGAATCTATCCTCCCTCAATTTCTGTCAAGTCTTGTCTCTTCTCCTATTTCTTTTAAACAACAACACTGTCTTCAGTAATCTCGCCTATCTTCCTGGAAATTATTTGAACAATAAGTCCTTTAGAATGTCAAGATCTGTTTATTTCTTTTGGAGGAGGGAAAATAGTCTTGCTGGGTAATGAAGCCACATGACATAAAGGATTCTTTCTTTTGTTTTAATCAACTAGAATCTGTGTACTCAGGCCCTGATCCTGATGCCCTGGATCCCACTGACCTTGTACCTTTCTCTGTGAATTGTGACACTTTCCCTGTAAGATGCTGCTCCCTGGGAACAAGGGAATCACAGTCTCACCTATAGAGACTTTATGCTGTTGGAGACAGAAATATAATTGCTCACATGCAGTGTCAAGGCATCTGGTAGAAAGAAGGTTGGAAAAAGCTTCTGGTGACATTTATTTCAAGAGGCCACCAGATTGGTTGGTGGCAGCAGTAATGCCTGCAAAGAAATCTCACCACAGGCTGGTGGGAGGAAAAACACTAAACAGGAGCAAACATAGAGACATTAAGCTTCAGCATATTTTTGTTTTTTTCATTGCTCTTCTAGAGGCCACTGGGTTTGCAGTGATGGTTTGCATATGCCCTTTAAATGTTTATGTTTAAAGATAAGCTGCTTTTCTATTTATGCTTTATTTAACATTTACATTTGTAACATTTCCTTGAGTGGTTTCTATCATTTTGGGATCCTTTGAGCTCTCCAAGGAAAATGATAACCATTTTCTATGAGAGGAATGATAAAAGTCTCTAGAATGGGACAAACCTCAGAGTTTTCCACTGGTGCTAAAAATAGCAAGGCTGAGTGAGAGCCACACACTCTAGTGAAAAGTCATCCATGGCAGCTCCAAAGCCCCTCTGTCTGCGTTGTTTTATGTGCTATCAATGCATCAGCATTTCACTGGGGTACTGCAATGAGTTAGAGTTCTGTACATTAGCCATTTACAACCCCCACGTGTTGAACAGAAGACAGAGGAGGAGTGAAAAAGATGGCATGTTCAGCCAAAGTTTCTCCATGATTTCAGTGGGAATACTTTTCTCTAGCACAACAGACAATTTGGAGGTTACACCATCCTTGTCAGTTTATCACACATGTTTTAACCATTATATTGCACATTAATTTGTTTTGAAAGGTGGAGGCAGCTTTGTCCAGCTTCTATTTTGGAGAATACTTTCCTTTTTTTGAAATGATTAAGTATGTCAACATTCCAAGGTCTGTGTATGGTTTTGACAACTGTCATCTTACTGTCTATTGGGATCCACTTGAATTGAAACTCCTGAGAGAAGTTTATTAAACTTATAGGTTAATTCCAGAAAGATAAGAAAAACAACTCCCAAAGCAAAACAAACCCAAAAGATCTACCCTACATTGCTAAAATCAGGTAGAACCCCATGTATCTCATTAGAAAAATCTGCTTTTAATATTTTTGTTTCAAGAAATGATGCATGACTTCTCAAATCCTTCCTGCAATTAATCCCCCATGTTCCTGTGTTTAGAAAATGATTCATTACTTTTGAACCTTCCTTAGTTTCCCTTGGTTTGTCCTTGGGGAGCCATTAACACACACTGTAGTGAGCTAGAGTTACCTAACTGCAAACGTCATGTCTATTTGTTTTTACAGGTGCAGTATGCTGAATTGAAACCATACAGCAGCTCCAGTCCCATTAGGAAGAAACGGAGTGCGCTCTAGGATGCAGCACAATTTGGGAATGCAGCATCTCCCTCCATGCACACACGTGCACACACACTGCTCCCCTCCCCTCCTTCTTGCTTCAGAACAACACTAGAATCACTGCCACAGACTTCTTGGTTCTTTTGAAGATGTGGTTTTTGATGAACACCTATCTTTGGTTTCTTTTTTGGGTTGTCTTTTAGGCATGGAGTCATAGCCCAAAAAATGAGCAAGGTGGAATGTACGAGCTAGCTTGTGGGGTGGAGAGGAGAATGGGAGAGGATGGTGCAACTTGCACCATTTTTCTCTTTTTCTTTTCGTTTTTTTTTCATTTATTTTTTATTTTTTTCCTTTGATTGCAGAGACAAGGCTGGATGTGGCAGCACTCCCTGTTTTATGTAGGAAGAGATAATTCCGCTTAGTGTAGCAGATCAGCTGAGCTGATGTGAGGAGATGCTCTGAACCAGTTTTTAACATATCCAACAGATTTACATTAAGATATGAAAGCTATTCTTTTCTGAGTTAAATCACTGTGCCTAGAAAGGTTTAAGCTCTGAATTAACGAGTCTTTGATACCCATCTTCTGTTCAAGCAGTGTACATTTTAAAAAGTTTTTTTATCATAATTAGCAGAAAGAGCTAGGAGCTCCAACAGTATCTCAATATTTCATCCAGCACTTGTGGGGTTTTCTTTTTCCTCTCCCCCCCCCTTTTTTTTTCTTTTTAAATCTCATCCCTGTGATTAACTCTTTGGATACTGGAATCATCAGAGATCCATTGCTGGCAATGGACGCATGAGAACCTTATGCCATGAAAGGATTAAGAGACTGTAGAAAAGGCTAACTCACTGACCTGAAAAGACTCTGTTGACTGCCTTTTATAATTCCATCTCATCAGATATTTTCAGCATAGCTGTTGTTTGCCTGTCTAAATCCAGAGGGGTCAACACTACAGATCCAAGAGAAAACAAAAACACTTTATAGCCTTAAAGAAACAAGTGCTTGTGCAGAAAGACAGCATGGTGCCCAAAGATGTGGTTGTGCAATAGTGTGCAGGCTTTGGCCCACCACTGGTGTCTTCTTGGAGTCTTTCCTGGTGGTTCAGAAGGAGAGGACCAGAAGGTGAAGTCATATGGAAACTGAGCAATCAAAAGCCAGAAGAAAGGACCCCGTTTTCTGTTCTGAGGAGAATGTGATTTCTTGCTTGCTTACCAATCTTATAGCTATTGTGCTTTTGCTTTATATATTTCAGATAACCAGCACTATTCGTGTTGTTTGACTGGGGAAACTGAAACACAAAAGCATCTGTAAACCTGCTTAATTTTGGTGAGAGTGTAGCCCTTGGTCCCTTAGGTGCTGTAGGACATTGTGCGAGCAACTTGCCACCACAACAAGTCATGGGTAGTACAAGAGCTGGAGTTGCTTCTTGATTCCCAGGCAGGGGTTATCACCAACATCCTCTGATGTAGTACCCACAGTACAAAGAAATAAGGAAACCTGAGATGTCTCTTTTTGCCAAAAAAAGAAAGACTTTGGAAGTCATCTAATTAAAGATAGAACAAGTAAGACCTTGCTTAGGGATCTGTGATCCAAATGGAGTTGTGTGTGGCTCCGTAGCACAATATTGTGGGCCTGTTGCATGAATTTGAAGAAGGAAAACTAACACCAGAGTATCTTCCACTGGATTATTAGCCAGATTCAGTGATTTTTCAGAAGTTTATTTTTCAAAGTAACAAGCCCCACTGTGCCTTTGAGTAAGGACAGGCACATTTTCATGTACTTGATTGGATAAAGAATGTATTGCTTGTGCAAAGCTGAGTGTAGCTGCAAATGGAAGGATAGAAGAAAGATTATCCTGGTTTTAAAAGCCACAAAAATGCCTCTTTGTGTGCACGTGTGCTTGTGTACCCATGCATATACAGAATTTTGTATAAAGAGTACATGTATAATGTATTTATAGGCGAGTGTGTGTGGGAAAATGGGTGAATATACAGATTTAAAAACCTTGAAAATGTTTATGAAAAATGCCAAAGATTCTAAAGCTTATCATCTCGCGTCTGTTCTTCTTCATTTTCTATCTTTCCCGGCATGTCTGTCTGGCTGAGCCAGATCTCTGCATGATTTGATTTACTTCAAGTTAATGAAGCTGGTTGGAAAGAGCCTTGTAGAAATTACAAAATCTCCAGTAAATCTCCTTCTTGTACATACAATAGATGTCCACGGAACCCTTTTGTTAAACCAGTTTCTCAATCTTCTCTGTAAACAATGCCTCATTGTCTCGCTTAAAACTATCATCTGGTTTATCATACTGTAGTCTTGTCATTTTGTAAGGACCAAAGTCAGACATATTCAAGCAGGCATGTGAGATCTGATCGTTGATTTGAGTGAAAACATTCAACTGCGGGAAAAATTGTTTATTTATTCAGAAGTTGAGACTGATACTTTAATAGTTGTTTTTCCCTATGGATTTTTCCACATGGAACTGATTTCTGTTCAGGAGACAGGGTGATGTCTTTTTTTTTGTTTTTTCTTTTTTGGTGTAGATATGTTGGGTTTCAAAATAATTTGTTTTAATTGTTATGCTGGAGTCATACCAAATGAAGGGGCTTGGATGTTTCACTACCTATATATGTTGTAATGAGCTCTTTGTTTTGATAAATGCTGTTTGAAATGCAATAAACATTTGAGGTCAAGCTGATGCTTTAAATTTTTCTGGATTAGGCAATAGGTTTCCCATTCTTTGCAAAATACTGTGCTGTAATATTCAGAATCTGACTAGGTAAGCAAGTACATCCCTTAGCAGTGCAGTGTAACAACTAACACTGGGGTTTACTTGAAGTGGAGTAAGGGGCATAGGTGCATCTCATGCTGCAGCAGGAACCATGGTAAAGCCTTACCCCACCTGCTTGCAACTCTTTAATCAAAGAATGACAGAATTTAGGGGTTGGAATGGACCTTACAGATCATCTAGTCCCATCCCCCTGCCATGGGCAGGGACACCTCCTCACTAGATCAGGTTGCTCAAGGCCTCATCCAGCCTGGCCTTGAACATTGCCAGGGTCAGAGCAGTCGCCACGTCCCTGGGCAACCTGTGCCAGTGTCTCACCACCCTTATAGAAATGTGGAATTTCCTAGACCCTACTTAAAGGAAAGGAGACTTTTGTGTACTTACTGCACACCCCAGTCATCAAAATCTACATTCAGATTTGTCATTTGATTCTTTAAGAATATTTGTTGACACCTATCTCTGTCTACTTACCGAAGCAAATTATCAGTGGTTACATTGCTAATCTATTCAATGTATAGCATGGAACTTCTAAACTTATATATTTAATTTAAGGTTGTAATTCCAGTGCGTTTGCAGGCTCAAGTTTCTAAGACCAGAAGGTATTGAGAAATTTAAATCTATCTATGGGTCTTTTGGACTGTAGAATCATGGAGATACCAGAATATGGAGCATATCCATTAGCTGCACTGTGTGTAAATAGCTGTGTTTGACATATATGTGTAAATGCGATACAAACTCAAACATAAGTTGCTGCTGAAGGTTGGTTTCTTGAATAATCAAGAACAGGACTGAGGACTTGGCTCTCTTATGGCTCACTGTCAGTAAAACTCAGTCACTGCAATGCACCTTGTGAGTAAAGCAAGTCGGTGGAAATGTCACACAACTTTCCTTTTTCTCTGCTTGCAGAGCTCCACTTTTAAGCTTCAGCCACCTTCTGCTTCCTCTCAGTCCCCTCCTGAGTGCCCCACAAAGTGGTGGAGCCCAGGCTCTCCCTGCTGCCCAGGAATCCGACTGGAGATCCCTGCCCAGCAGACCAGCACCCTGCAACTTTGTGTGTGGAGAAGGGAAACTGCTTGTCCTCTAGAAATTAAACTGGCTGCTGCTAATTCCCTGCCTGGGGTAAGAGTACTAACAGCTCCCTGAATTGGTTTGTCCCACTAGAAAACAGACACTTGCTATTTAATTTCCTGTACCCTACATGGGGCTAGGTTTTATTTTATATTTTTAATTTGGAGGGCCTGATCCTGCAGGTGTTACCAGAAGTGGAACTGGAGTTATTTTCCCATCAGACCAGTAGGTTCACACCAGGAAGGAATTTGGCATCTCTGATACCTTAAGGAAAAAGTTGACAAAATACATTCTAACCAAACCTTAACCTTTATATTTTCCACCCTTTAACTAAGCTGATAGACTGTTCTGGAAATGTTAGCTTTGACTTTAGAGACTATGGCATGTGTTAGTCATGACTTATGTTCTGACTTAATATTGTACACGTGCTTTATCTGGAAAGCTGCATGTGTCAGGGCCCTGGTGTATCTACCCCTTCAAATCGCATGGAGGCATGATAAGAATATCTGCTTCCCAGCATCCTAAAAGTTACCAACTCAGAAGGAAACTGAGATACTACAAATGATTGTCAGTCTGCTGTATTGCAGATGAAATGTTTTAATCATTCTCAATTTGGGTAAGTTAAGCCAGGTGAAATTCCATCATTTTGGGACAAAGTATCTGCTTGACAGTTTATCAATGGGGAAGACCCTCAGCAGCAACAGTAATTATACAGTTCAAGGAACATGTGAGCCAAAGATAAATTTATGATTAATGTAAATATTCACAAGCATTTAGAAACAGTATTGGAGTGAAAAATCAGCCTCTTGAGATCATAGCATTTTTAATCTACATTTCTCTGTGATGCTTTGACTGAAAACAATGCAGCATTTCAAGAGAATTTAGAAGGTCATTTTGTTTTGAATAAAAGCCATGCTCTTCTGACATAAATCATGAAACTGAGCACAGGAAAGCAGGAGGTGGCATTCAGGCCTTGGTGTTTGCAACAGCAGCAGCACCTGGGCGGGCATGAGTTCAAGTTCTCAGCATGGTTTTAACCCGAGGGCTGGTGATTCTTGTTAAATTTTACGTGAATGAACGTTGCCAATCGGTTCCCGTGTGTTGGATTGAACACCTGCAAATTCCCTCTTGACTGAACAAGATGATCTGCCTCTTGCAGGGAAA